ATTTTCTTTGGTAACCTTATGTTATTATTTATTATTAATGGTTCACATGAGCACTGTGTAGTGCTTCTTCCCCACCTTATTATTTTCCAATTTTAAAAATTCCATGGTTGCTAATTGAGATTTTATGTTCCATATACTACAAGGCATAGTGGATTCAAAGATTAGTGATATATAGGATCTGCCCGTCAAGGTCTAGTGGGGAACAGATACTCTGATGGAGGTGTGTAAACAGGTATGTGCACAGAGGAAGGTATAATTAATTTTGCTGGGGAAAGTTGTCTGGGGAGCTGTTTACTCATTAGGTTCTGCTTTGCAATTTTACTGTGAGTCATTAATGGCTGAGTTCTTCATAAGGTACCCTCTGTAAAAATATTAACACGTGGGTTACTCCTGTGGTGGGCAATGAGTATTGTCAAGGACATAATACCCTGCAGTACAATGTAGGAAGCAATTTTTAAAGCCTGTTTCTTTTATATGTGTAAAACTTAACTTTTGTTTCTTCATTGGGATACGAAATTTAATTTTGCAAATAAAAGTCTTACACTGCTTTAACAGAGTTGATGTATTAAATTGTTTCCAATTTCTCTCACTTTCTCTGTATTGTGATTTGGGTGAAAGTTTACAGAGCAAATCAGTTTTCCATTCAACAGTTCACCCACATTTATTTCACGTCATTAGCTACAACCCCCTCAATGTAACACCACTCTTGCCATATTCTCTCTGTGTTTCTCATTTGCATTTGTCCTTCTCTCCTAAACCTTCCAACCTTCTGAACTTTGTCAACACTGCTCTTTTGATATAAAATGGTTGCTTGTTCTAAGGAATGTGTACCTTGTGGACCTTGTTCACTTGTAGACCCCTCTATTGTTTGACTGCAAATTGAGCTATGTGAGCGAGTTTACTTCCAGGTCTGAAGAGTGACCAAGGGCCATAGTCTCAGGGGTTTCACCTAACCCTGGCCTTTTTTTTTAGTAATTTTTGAGTTTTGTTCCATATTTTTCGCTCATTCTGTCTAGACCTTGTAATGTGTTCCCTTTTAGAGTAGTTGGCAGTGGTAGCCAGGCACCATCAAGTTCTTCTGGTCTCGGGGTTGTGGAGGCTGAGGTTCATTGCTCCATTAGCCCTTTGGACTCACTGTTTTTATGTGTCTTTGCTTTTCTTCCCTCTTCTTTGCTCTGGATGAGGAGAAAGCAACAGTTGCACCTTAGATGACCACTCATAAGCTTTTCAGACCCCAGTCACTACTCACCAAAGTAGAATGTAGAACATTGTCTTTGTGGATATGTTGTGCCAGTTGACCTTAGTGTCCCCTGAGACTATGGTCCTGAGTCCCCAGTGCCAGACGCATGCCCTTAGTGTTTTTGGTTATGGCTAAGATGTTTTCATAACTTTACCTCCTATATGCTCTACTCTATTCATGGATATATTTGAAGCATATGTAAATACATAGTAGAAATATCCTCTGTTGAGCCTATACATATTCAGGGATATAGTCCCAGTCTCCTTTCCAAATCTGTTCAGTTTAGGTATCTGTATTCACTTACAGATTATTGATTATTGTCATTACTGTTATTACAGGATTGTATATGGATTAGTATTTACCTCTGTTGCCTTTAACTCTCGTATTCCTCCCAGCATCTTCCTTTCCTTAATCATTTTGTGCTGACCACTTCCTTGTTGTTTATTGCATCCAACATAAGATGTGTCTGCTCTCTAATTAGTGGTTTGCCCTTCCTTCCCCTCCCACCCTAGTAGCCATGAAAGAATATTTTTTTGTGTGTGAAAACCTTTTCTTGACTTTCTACAATAGTGGTGTCATACAATATTTGTCTTTTGGTGATTGACTAATTTCACTCAGCATAATATCCTCTAGGTTCATCCATGTTATGAGATGTTTTACAGGTTCATTGTTCTTTGTGTAGTATTCCATTATGTGTCTCTACCATAGTTTGTGTATCCATTCATCCGTTGATGGGCATTTAGGTTGTTTCCATCTTTTTGCTGTTGTGAATATTGTGCTGTGAACATTGTTTTTAGTTTCTCTTAATGCTGTGTTCAGTAAGAAAAACATTTATATTTTAAATACAAACCAACAATTGTCACAGACTTGTTTCATTTTGTTTATGCTTAATTTTAGTTCAATACCATTTGAAGAAAGAATTTTAACTGTTCTTAAGTGGCTACAGCTTCCCAAAGATGAAAGGTACGTAGATGATTAATTTCTATTTTAAATACTCCTTGGTCTTACAGAAATTACATAATATTTTAAAATAGACTATACCAAAACTTTACTATTGGCTATGATGTTTTATGGCCAAATGAACTCTTTTGTGAACAGCTACTTTATGAGGAATTTCAAACTTGTAAATTATTTGTGAGCAAGTTTAGAAATGTTACCTCATTGTCATAGAACTTGTAGTTGCTGTCAATTGTTGAATTATTCTTCCGTTCTGTTTTTCAATGTGTTCGTAAAATATTACATTTTGATACTGTTTGATTTAGACCACACTTTTACACTCTGTATTTAGAAGAACCAGATTCTTCAGGTCATTCATATGGACCAGTCAGCAGTGAAGTAAGTACATTTTTATCAGTGATTACTGCATTAAACCTAGTATTTAACTCAATCTTGCTTTGAGGCAGGTTTTTATACCACTCAATAAGATTCCATGAGTTCTGGAAACAGTGAGTGTTCAGCACAATTTTACTGAATCAAAAGATGTAGTTTAATCAAAATAAGGATTGAGAGATTATTTTGTTTACATTTTCTGCATTGCTAAATGAACTGGTGATGAATTAAATTCTGTTTTCTATTCTATTCTATTCTATTTATCTTATCCCCTCCACAACCCCCTGCCTTAGCCTAAAAGCAAAATGTTTATTTGAGAATTATTTCTGTTATTTCTATTTTATTCTAGTTCTATAATCCACTTTATATCCCCTTACCTTAACGTTAAATATAAATGCTTAAGAGAATTTTGTAAAAGGGTTAAGGCTCCAAATTTCATGAAAATATAGGCTAAGGGGTCAAATAGCAGCAAAACATTCCTGTGAAATCTCCTCCTCAGGAGGTATGTCTCTGATCACCTGAGAACACGCTTTCAACAGAGCTTGGATGTCAAAGGATCATCGTGACCCCTCCTTGGGTGCTTAGTGCCTAAAGGCACTTGACTGCTAACCAGAAGCCTGGCTCTTCAAACCCACCAGCCACTCCTCGGAAGGAAAATGGGGCAATCCACTTCTGTAGTGATATTGCCTTGGAAACCCAAGGAGGGGTCGCTATAAGTCGGGTCCGACTCAACAGCACATAACTGCAGCAACAACAACATCACTACAGGAAGTAGATCGCCCAGTCTTCCTTCCGAGGAGTAGCTGGTGGGTTTGAACTGCCAGCTTTCTGGTTAGTAGTCAAATGCCTTCGGCACTCTGCCACCAGAGCTCCCAATCATAGGCATTTTTGTTGTTATGTGCCGTCGAGTCAGACCTGACTCATAGGGATCCCTCCTTGGGTTTCCGAGGCGGTATCACTATGGAAGTAGGTTGCCCAACCTTCCTTCTAAGGAGCGGCTGGTGGGTTTGAACCTCTAGCCTTCTGGTAGGCATAGAGAAGTACAAATAATCATTTCTTTGTTGAGTGGTTATTAGGAAGCTGTGTGTGTGTTGTTGTGTGCCATAGAGTCGGCCCCGACTCATAGCGACCCCTCCTTGGGTTTCCGAGGCAGTACCACTACGGAAGTAGGATTGCCCAACCTTCCTTCCGAGGAGTGGCTGGTGGGTTTGAACCACCAGCCGTCTGGTTAGCAGTCAAGTGTCTTAGCCACTATGCTACCAGAGCTCCCATTAGGAAGCTAGAGATAGGGAAATAATTCATCAACTAATGTTCTCAGTGTAACGTCATGTTTGGCCTGATACTCCTTCAGTAACTTGGCCAGCTCCTGACTGTGTTTGTAATGTGTAAAATGCTTTAGAATAACAAATATTACTTTCAATTTTCTTGTGGCTGTATATTTTTTTTCCCCTAATATTGAGCACAGGAAACATCAGAACAGAAAATTTTTGTTTCTTTCCTCTTCCTCCCAAGATGACTTTCCTTATAACTTAAATTTTACCTGTGACCTAAGATATGAAAAGACACAATAATTAAAGATCTGTGAATATTGATGGTTATATTGAAAAGGAGAAGATACATTGCCAGAGTCCCTAATTGCAGAATCCTCGTCTGGGTATCTTTAGCCCCATGTGATTACAAGGGCTATAAGTTTAGGGTATATTCTAGGAAAATACACTTTTTCTTAATAGCTAGAGTTTTACCTGCAAACTCCTATCATGGTATTTTCCTGTCCTTTTAGCTCAGGTTGGAGCTAAAAGAACAGGAAAATACCATGATAGGAGTGAGCTCCAGGTCCTTTAACATAGGTTCTAAACCAGAGCCTGGCCTGGTGAGTCTATTTTGCAGGTACTGCTTGGTCTAAAAGGGAGCTCTGGTGGCGTAGTGCCTAAGGCACTTGACTGCTAACTAGATGGCTGGCGGTTCAAACCCACCAGCTACTCCTTAGAAGGAAGGTTGGGCAATCTACTTCCATAGTGATACCGCCTTGGAAACCCAAGAGGGGTCACTATGAGTCGGGTCCGACTCCGCGGCAATGTGTTTGGTGTTTGCTGAAGTAGAGGATCGGTGAAAACAAGGGAAATCTTCGATGGGATAGATTGGCACAGTAGCCACAATGGCAGATGCAAACATATCAAAGATCATTTGGGTGGTGCAGGATCAGGCAGTGTTTTATCCTGTTGTACATAAAGTGGTCATGAGCGCGAGTCAACTGGATGGCAACTAAGAACAATTTGGTGTCAAGCACTAGCAGCAATAGAAAGAAGAGGGAAAAAAACATGTTCATTTTTCTCATTTAAATCCTAAAACCCATTGCTATCAAATTGATTCTGACTCATAGTGATCCTATAGGACAGTAGAACTGCCTTATAGGGTTTCCAAAGCTACAGCTTTTAAAGAAACAGATTGCCACATCTATCTTCAGCTAACAGCTTGTGGGTTTGAACTGCCAACCTTTTGTTTAGCAGCCAAGTACTTAACCACTGTGCCACAGGGCTCTTTTTGAATCCATAATAGGTGGCTAAACCATCTTCCTCTTGTTTCCCTTGACATTCCCTAGATTTAGCTCTCTTGCTCATTCTCTCTCTCTCTCTTAATTGTGATTTGGGTGAAAGTATTACAGAGCAAATTGGTTTTCCATTCAACAATCTATGCACATTCTGTTTTGAAACATTTGCTGCAATCCCAAACTGTAACAGCATTCTTCTCACTTCTTCCCTATGCCCAGCCCTTTCCTTTGTTCCTCTGTCCCATCGCTTCCCACCTTCCTAGCTCTCCCTTTGCAAATGCTGTCCTCTTGATCTCGTGTGCTTGATTGTTGTAGTGAGTTCATACCTTTCTGTGATCACTGTTCATCTTACAGGTCTGTCTATAGTTTGGCTGCCAGTAGAGTTATGGGAGGTAACTTCAGTTCCTAGCTTGAAGGATATCTAGGGGCAATAGTCTCAAGAGTTTTACAAGTCCTCATCAGACCAGTAAGCCTGGTCTTTTTTATGATTTTGAGTTTTGTTCCACATTTTCCCAATCTCTCCAGGACCTCTTGTGATCCCTCTCAGAGAGGTCAGCAGAGGTAGCCAGGTACCATCTAGTTCTTCTGGTCTTAGGGTCATGGAGGCTGAGGTTCACGTGTTCTATTTGTCCTTTGGACTGATTGTTTCCTGCATCTTTGATTTTAGTCTTTGCTCGGAATAGGGAGAGACCAATAGTAGCACCTTAGATGGCTGCTCACAGCTTTTTTTTTTTTTTTTTAACGCACTTGACTACTTACCAGAAGGCTGGCTGTTCAAACCCACTAGCCACTCCTCGAAAGGAAGGTTGGGCAATCTACTTCCCTAGTGATACTGCCTTGGAAACCCAAGGAGGGGTTGCTATGAGTCGGGTCCAACTTGATGACACATGACAACAACAACAATTGTGATTCGAGTGAAAGTTTACAGAGCAAATCCATTTTCCATACAGTAGTTCATATGCACTTTGTCTCATGACATTGACCACAATTCACCACAATGCAACAGCTCCCCTCTCACTTCCTCCCGACAGTCACCTCTTCCATGTGTCCATCCCTCCATGCACCCCTTTCTCTCAGTTCTTCTTTCTCTCATGATTTGCTCACAGGCTTTTAAGAGCCAAATCAAAACTCACCAAAGTAGGATGTAGAACATTGTCTTTGTGGACTGTTACGCCAGTTGACCTTAGTGTCCCCTGAGACTATGGTCCTGAGCTTCCGTACACAATGACTCATTCCCTCAACGGTTTGGTTATGACTAAGACGTTTTCGCAGTTTTATCCCCTGTATGCCATACTACATTCATGGATTTATTTGCAGCACATATAAATATATATGCAGAGAGAGCTTCTGTCAAACCTGTATATATCTGTGGGTGCAGTCCAGTTTGCCTTCCCAGGCCTATTTCGCTTGAGTGTCTGTCTGTGCATCCACTGCTAAATTACTGCTGTTACTGTTTTTGCAGATTGTATATGTAATAGTATCCACCTTTGTTGTCCTTAACTCTTGTGCTCCTCCCTATCTCTTCCACTGCCTGGATTGTTGTGTGGTGTGCTGACCTCCTCCTTACTGTATATTGCCTTTCCCTTTACCCAAGTCAATGTTCGTCTGTCCGCTAGTTACTGATTGTCCTTCCCTCACCATCTCACCTCTATTAACTTGAAGGTTACTAGAGAAATTCTTTCTGTGTGCGTACCTTTTCTTGACTTTTTATACCACAGTGGTCTCATATAATAATTATCCTTTTGTCATTGACTGATTTCATGCAGCATGAAGTCCTCTAGGTTTATCCATGTTATAAGGTATTTTGCAGATTCCTTGTTACTTTTTAACGTTGCATAGTATTCCATTGTGTCTATGTACCATGGTTTATTTATCCATTCATCTGTTGATGGGCACTTGGGCTGTTTCTGTCTTTTTGCTATTGTGAGTAACCTGTGATAAACATGGGTGTGCATATATCTGTTCATGTGATGGCTCTTATTTCTCTAGGATACACTCCTCGGAAGGAAGGTTGGGCAGTCTACTTCCGTAGTGATACTGCCTCGGAAACCCAAGGAGGGGTCGCTATGAGTCGGGTCCGACTCGACGGCACATAACAACAACAACAGTGGTATTGCTGGGAGTTCTGGTGGTGTAGTGCCTAAGGCATTTGGCTGCTAACCAGAGGCTGGTGGTTCAAACCCACTAGCCACTCCTCAGAAGGAAGATTGGGCAATCTGCTTCTGTAGAGATACCACCTCAGAAACCCAAGGATGGGTCACTATGAGTTGAATTGTCTCAATGGCAGTGAGTTTGGTTTTTTGGAGTGGTATTGCTAGATCATATGGTATTTCTGTTTCCAGCATCTTAAGAAAGCACTATGCTGCTTTCCATAGTGGATGTACCATTTTGTAATCCCACCAGCAGTGTATAGATGTTCCAGTCTTTCTATACCCTCACCAGCATTTATTGTTTTCTATTTTTTTGAAGTGTGCAATTAATGCTGGGGTAAGATGATATCTTGTTTAGATTTGCATCTCTCTGATGGCTAATGATAGTGAACATTTCTTCATGTATTTGTTTGGTGAAGTGTCTGTTCATGTCCTCTGCCCATTCTTTAATTGGATTGCATGTCTTTTTTGTTGTTGTTGAGGTATTGAAGTTTTCTGTAACCATTGTGCCACCAGGGGTCCCTTTTAATCCAAAATAGCTGGTTAAACCATTTTACCCTTGTTTCTCTTGAAATACGCTAGATTTACCTCTCTTAAAGAGTGGATATTTCTTGGGTTGCCATCACTTCAGATAAAAGAAACTAAGAGAGGGGGAAGTAATCTGTTTTTATTCTGTTTTTTTTTTTTTTTTAATTTGTTTTTCCTCAAAAGCTATCTCCCACAAGTCCAAAGTAGTTAGTATCCCCATTGTGCCCTTGTTGTCATAGTTGGTCAAACAAAAACATTTTTTCATAGCTATTGTCTTAGTTTGAACAGTCAGCCAGCTGCCAGTGTAATGTTTTATCCCTTTACTAAAATCACTAACAAAAAAGAACCTTGGTGGCACAGTAGTTAGGTGCTTGGCCGTTAACTGAAAGGTCAAAGGTTCACACCCACCAGTTGCTCTGTGGGGAAAAGATACAGCAGTCTGCTTTGGTAAAGATTACAACCTTGGTAGCCCTGTGGGGCAGTTCTGTGCTGTCCTGTAAGATCGCTATGTATGTGAATCAACTTGATGGCTGTGGGTTACAGTGTCTGACACTTAAGACCTATGTCTAGGTCAGTTTGGCTACAATTGAGTTCTAAGGTTAATTTTGAGGAGTGGTTTTACCTGCTGAGAATTGTAACAATAACACATTGCTGGAATGTTTTCCATTCTCTGAGTCTAGCCTTTGTAATGTGCTTTCTTTGTCTGTTTTTGATGTTCTGGACCTGTATGCCCTTTGGATTACCCATACTTAAATATTCCAGAGTTTACTCCAATCAGCTTTGCTGTCATTGTCATTTTGGTTCACCCATTTTATGGCTTTTCTTGTTATTGTTTCGTATCAGGTCATACATGTTTCAAAATCAGTGCTTCCTTTTCTAATTCACTGAAGATTTTCCAAGGTATCTACTTCCTGACTCATCTTCATTCAAGTTTGAGCCAGTTACTTTTCAAACCATATTCATCAACTTATAAACTCTGTTAAAGTATCTTACTGGCACATCAATACACAGCTTGTCATAACACTTAAATTTTCTGACTCATGTTGCTTTCAACATTAGACCATATTGAAAAAGATTGTCTCCTATTTCAGTGTGATCCACTATTACTGAAGATTACACAGATTTGGCACTTTAATGAAAATGCATGCAAAACTGCACATGAATTTTTATTAGGTGGTTTTGAAGGGAGGTAGGAAAAGATAAATGCAAGAAAACAGTTTGCCAAAACCAGTTGTTTTCTCTGTCCTTAAGATAGTTACAAGCAGAATACATGTAGTTTGTAAAGAGATACTAGATTTGTTTATAGGAGTTCTAGTTTTAAAAAAAACTAAGTATGTAGAACTATCAGAGGCATTTTATGAATAATGTATCTGAAAATTAAGGAATATTTTGTTTACATAGTAGACATTTAGAATTTTATTGTATCTGAAAACAGAAGAAGAAATTCTAGAAAATGAAGTGATAATTAGATTAGGTATACATTCAGTTCTGTCCAAACACATTGATTTTTGAGTTCTACATAAGCTGAGTTTTGCTTTGGTAGCATTCTGAGAACTCAGGAAGGGAGAGTTCATCAGTTCAGCTGATGTTATTCCCAAGAGTTAAGATTGAGTTTATAGAGAATTTAGGCCCTTTCATTTTAAATGGTCAACAGTGATTTCATGTCCTTTATGACCTATTTCAGCCCAGTGTGAATGAATTCACTGTAGTATTTGCACCCACTGAACTCTTTTCTTTTTTAACAGATAGCTTTACATATAGCTAGCTATTAATACGGAGGACATCTCATGAGATTGCTTCCATTTCTTAGGTCATCAAAGCACTGCAGAGGGTGGACAACATGGTTGGCATGCTGATGGATGGCCTGAAGGATCTGGACTTGCACAGATGCCTGAACCTCATTCTCATTTCAGATCATGGTAATCTGAATTTGCCTCCTTTTGCTATCTGGTTTAATGCTGTAGTTGTTATTTGCTGTCGAGTCGTACCCGACTCATAGCGACCCCTCCTTGGGTTTCCGAGGCAGTATCAGTACAGAGATAGATTGCCCAACCTTCCTTAGTAGTACTACTCCCCAAAAAGAAAAAGTTTACTTGATTATTGTTTCATTACCTCCTGAACATTGTCCAGGGTATGCAGAATTAAATATAAAATTGAGTGTAATACTTTTATATTCTTTTAAAATATATTATCTTTCATAATAGAAGTCTTTAGGAAAAGTGACATAAACTGTAAAGTGTGAATGAAACACAGAATTCACCTAAGAATTTCTCAACCACAATGCTCCTAACTACTGTTAATCCAGGGAAGGCTTATACCAGGCATGTGGATAGTTTAAAAAATTTATTTTCAATATTAAATTCTGGTAATATACTCGAACAACTTCAGATTAACAGACTATTCTATACCTCTTCAATTTCTTTTAGGATGATAAATGGTATACATCAATTTTGACAATATTTAATTTTCATTTTACTTATGGTGGTCTTTGTAGCACATGTCTGTGTACAACTTTGGGATTATAGAAGTGCCGGGTATATGAGAAAGTAGAAAGCAGGTTCTTTTTTTTTTTTTTAATTCATTGTTGTATTTACCCAGAGAAATGATTACTAATAGTTATTTTCAGAAACAATCCTGAAAGGTTATATCCCAAAAAAGCTCTATGCCTGGAATGAGACTGGGAGTTTTTAGTCTTCTAGTTATTTTCTTAGGTGATTTGGGAAAATACTGTCTTTGGGCTTTTATATTACTCTAAAACTATGGCAAGAGATTCCTTTTCCCTCATATAAATATATTGTAATGTATAAATAAGAAGAAAAAACATTAATTTTGAATGAAGGAAAGGGAAAAGATTTTGAAAAAGATGAAGTTGTGATCTAGATGAAATTCTGTGTCTTAGTAAGTGCTCATCTAACCTAAGTGCTGAACACATGCCTACTGAATTAAATTCTGGAGGTGAAAGGGATTCTGTTCTGCATATTAACATTTGGATTAATGTTGTAACATGTTTTGGGATTTCTCCTCTAGGTATGGAGCAGGGCAGTTGTAAGAAATATATATATCTGAATAAATATTTGGGGGATGTTAAAAATATTAAAGTTATCTATGGACCTGCAGCTCGATTGAGACCCTCCGATGTCCCAGATAAATACTATTCATGTAAGTAGATCTCTATGCTAACTTTGAGTGTGATTTCATTTTCAGAATATACTCCTCTAAATCATTATATCTCTAAGCCAAAGAGAATTAATTAAGTTTAATTTCCTCTTCATGATTAAGTCTTCAGTGCAGATCTTCTGCAAACCAAGGGGGTTTTTTGGGGTTGGATGTGAGGATACAAGTCAGACTTGTTATTCATGGACTGAGCATCATTTTTGATATGCCTAGTAAAATTTTATGTTGTAGTTGATGTTTTACTTGTTTTAGGTTCAAGATTTCTTGTACTAGGAAAATAGGTCTGAGAAAATTTTGGCTGTATTTCATTCAAGTTTGATTAATTGATAATACTCCATTAAAATAACTTGAGCCATTTTAGAAGAATACTCTGGTATGAGGGGGGATGCTGACAGAGGTGATTACTTCTATGAACAATTGATTATTCTCCTCACAAGTTACTTCTGAAGCCACTCCAAAAAAGCAGTAAGAACAGATTCTTTAGACAGGGAAGAAGAAATTTCATATTCTCTCTTAGAAACATAGAGACTCCAAATTGCCAAGAAATTTTTTAAATTTAAGTGTTTAAAAATTCATTCTTTTTGAAATCAAGCCCATTTTCATAACTGTTGCCACCTTGGTAATTTTCAGATACACAGGGTAAATCTTTTTGTTACAATTCAACTTTAAAACAAAAAGAGAAAAAAGCTTTTCACAACAGTTGTCAGTATTGGGTTAGATTTGGGGACTGCAGTGCTATACGTTTTAATAGATACTCTTGAATATTCATGAGGACAAAACTATTTCACTGGAGGGGAGTGGTTATGAAAATGTTAGCGTAGTGATATGAAGCTCAGCCTTCATGTGCACAATGATAAGTTTTAATTATTTATTTATAACAGTAGATAATTGTTATAAAATCTGTTACAAAAACTGTACAGGCAGTGGCATTCCCCAGAAATGTTTGTGATAACAAATGCCTAAGCTTTAGCCATACCCTTATCTCATTTAAGCCTTCAAAGAAAAAACAAACCCCATTCTGTTGAGTTGATTCTGACTCCTAATGACCCTACAGGACAGAGTAGAACTGCCCCACAGGGTTTCCAAGGCTATAAATCTTTAGGAAAGCAGCCTGCTACATCTTACTCCTGTGGAGCAGATGGTAGGTTCAAAAAAACCAATCTTTAGGTTAGAAGCCAGGTGCTTCACCATTGCGCTGCCAGGGCACCTTAATTAGGACCTTTGGTTTCTCAAATTAAAGCAAAAATAATCTACATCTATATCTATACTATTTCAAATCTAGTCCCCTTGCCTTTACTTCCTGTGTACCCTTCTTACTGGAAGTTTTGGAACTCATAGTGACCCCTCCTTGGGTTTCCGAGGCAGTATCACTACAGAAGTAGGATCGCTCAACCTTCCTTCCGAGGAGTGGCTGGTGGATTTGAACCACCAGCCTTCTGGTTAGCAGTCAAGTGCCTTAGGCACTATATAAAATAAAAAAGCAGAAATTTCCCAGCTTAAGCACCCCTACTTCATAACTCAGTTTCATTCTCTGGAGAACCACTATTGAGTTTGGAATGTATCTTTGCAAATGTTCTCTACGCATATGTAAAGCACATACATTTTTATTTTTACACAGTGAAATTATATAAGATCAAGATAGATGGATAAGTGGGTAAATATTTAGATACATAGACAAGAGATGGATAGGCAGATAGCCAGATGAATGGATAGGTGGCTAGACGGGTAGACAGAGGATGGACAAACAGATGTATGGATGAACAGATGGGTGTTCTCTAACTTGCCTTTTCATTGAACAATATGGCACTGTTTCATAGGCATCATTACAGGGTGGTAACTTAAGATCTGTGTTATTCCTGTTAATGGATAATATGTAATGACTTGAATAAACTGTTTGAAACCTGTTTTCCTGTTTAATTATAGGATTGGAGTATGACTTTGCATTTTTTGTATCATTTTAATTTCTAATTATACCATACCATCAACTCTTAATTCTTACATTTGTTCCCCTTCAGTTAATTATGAGAGCGTTGCCAGAAATCTTTCTGTGAGTATTCTTATTTTCCCATTATCTAATTATTGTTAGTTTCATCTGATACCTATATTTAGAAAAAGGTTCTAAAGTATCTGTTCTTGGGATTAGAATTTTTGAGTATCTGGAACAACATTTAAATTCTCTATAGTTCTTAACCCAAGGAGGGGTTGCTATGAGTCAGGGCTGACTCGACGGCATATAACAACAACAACAACATAGTTCTTAAAGATCTTTAAGGATGTATCCAACAAGAATTCATTTATTGGCATTGTAAATTTATATTACACAAAAGAAATAATTTTAAAAATGTATAGCTGTACCACTATAAAAACAGTTAGCATTTTGATATATATATATATTTTTTTAAATTGTGATTTGGGTGAAAGTTTACAGAGCAAATTCACTTTCTGTACAGCAGCTCACATGCACTTTGTCTCATGACATTGACTACAATTTACCACGATGCAACAGCTCCCCTCCCACTTCTCCCCATAGTTAGCTCTTCCCTGCGTCCTTTCCTCCATGCACTCCTGCCCCCTGAGCTGTCTGTGCACATACAGCCCTTCTATTCTCCCATGATTGTTCTCTCCAAGGAGTGTATTTACTTAATTTGATATATTTCTTCTAGTTTGTTTTCTATGTTTATTTTTTTAAATAAGATTTTGTCTTACTGCTGAGTTATCTATACTACCTTTCTTTTCCTTGATATATTTTAAGTATTGAAATAAATTCTTAGAATTATATTACGAAAGTATTTGAAATTAGGATCATCAGTAACTTGCATATAATCTATTGACACAGTCTAAGAGTCCTGGGCTTTTATGCAGTTATAATTATGAAATCTTATAAAAATCTTAGCCAGCTTATACACTCTACAAGTAGTAAGAAGTCTTGGTTATTTTTACATCTGTGAGTTTTTGAGCATTCTCATAAAAATTTTCTGAAAGAAAAGTTTGCACTTTAGAAAATATGGACTCTTGCCTAAAAATATTTTTCTAGTAATTTTCTTTGTCTTTTATAATTTCAGTGCCGGGAACCAAATCAGCACTTCAAACCTTACTTAAAACACTTCTTACCCAAGCGTTTGCACTTTGCCAAAAGTGACAGAATTGAGCCTTTGACATTCTATTTGGATCCTCAGTGGCAACTTGCATTGTAAGTTCTGACAGTGTGTCAGGTTAAATGTACCTGGTCTGTTAGTGATTCATGGTAACATTTAGACTCTCCTAGCAATGTGAAATCTGCACAAATATGTTTATCTTTACTTTAGCCTGGGGTTTCAGCCTCAGCCTATTTGTATTTGGGGTCAGATAATTCTTTGTTAGGGGACTGGCATATGCATTGTAGGATATTTGAGGATCCCTGGTCTCTACCCACTAGACTACCCTTTCCCCTTTGTGGCAATATAAAATATCTTCAGACATTGCCAAATGTTTCCTGAGGCACAGGGAAGGATCACTCTCAGCTGATAACCACTACTCTGTCCTATCACATAAATACTGATTTTTTTTCTTAATCTTCATATTTATGTTACCACTTGTCATTGTATCGCTTTTGCATGTTACAGTTATATCTAATAATACCTTCAAAATAATACTTCTAAAGTCCATAAAATAATTGGCAAAAGCACTTCATTTTATAATAATGAGCAATTATCTTTTTCATTATACACAGTCTTTTTTTCATTCTCCTCCTTATACTAATCTGTCAATAAATTTGAATTTATTGATGTCTTCAGTAAATTATTTGGATGATTACTATTGTAAATATCTCAAAACCTGATCATTAACTCTTCTCTTCTGATAGTTGTCAAAAAGGAAATAATGGTAAATGCCCCTGTGAAGCAGAAACTAAACTGTGAACCAGAATTCAGTCACAGTAAATAGCACAGTGAGAGTTAAATCAGTTCTGCTTCAATACTAGTGGTTATCTCCCTTACACTGCAGGAAGCTCTAGTGGTGCAGTGGCTATAAGATATTTGGCTGCTAATCAAAAGGTTGGTGGTTGTATCCCACCAGCCGCTCCATGGGAGAAAGATGAGGCAGTCTGCTTCTGTAAAGATTTAGAGCCTTAGAGACCCTGCAGGGCAGCTCTTCCTTGTCCTATAGGATTGCTGTGAGTCAGAGTAAACTTGATGCCAGTCAGTGTGTTTGGTATGCTACATTGCTATACTGTATCAGCTATAATTGATTAAATATAGAGGTGACTCTTTAATATGTTTCAAAATCAGGTGACTTTACCTTTTTATTAATCTGTTTAACAAAATAGTTATTTATGCTTTACAAGTACATGTAATGACAGGGTTATCATGTTTTCTGAATGTATTTTACATTATTAATTGATATGTATCAAAATTAGGAATCCTTCAGAGAGGAAATATTGTGGAAGTGGATTTCATGGTTCTGATAACTCATTTTCAAATATGCAAGTAAGTAAGCATGTACTTTTTTTTTAAATGATAGGCCTATACATGAGGAAAAGCTGATATACAAAGTTTTGTTGTTGTTGTTGTTGTTGTTATGTGCCGTCGAGTCAAACCCGACTCATAGCGACCCCTCCTTGGGCTTCCGAGGCAGTATCACTACGGAAGTAGGATTGCCCAACCTTCCTTCCGAGGAGTGGCTGGTGGGTTTGAACCGCCAGCTGTCTGGTTAGCAGCCACTATGCTACCAAAGTTTTAGACTTAAAAATTTGAACTATGATTATATGCCTTAAATAAAACTTACTGAAGCATATACCATCAGAGAGTTTCTTTTCTTTGAACATTAAAGTAGTAGAATTTTTCAGGGCATATATGAAAAGCCAACAGCCAACATTATTCTTAATGGAGAAAAACTGAGAGCTTTCCTCTTGAAATTGGGAACAAGACAAGGGTGCCCACTCTCACTATTACTATTCAATATTGTATTAGAAGTACTAGCCAGACCAATACAACAAGAAAAAGTAATAAAAGGTATCCATACTGGAAAAGAAGAAATAAAATTCTCTATTTGTGGATACTATGATTCTATATATAGAAAGTCCCAAAGAGTGCACAAGGAAACTTGTAGAGCTAATGGAGGGATTTAGCAGAGTTGCAGGGTATAGGGCTAACCAACAAAACTCAGGTGGGTTTCTATACACCAGCAATGAGAAATCTGAAAGAGAAAGTGTGTAAGCAATTTCATTTATAATAGCATCTAATAGAATTAAATTCCTAGGAAGAAATCTAATCAGAGATGTGAAGAATTTATACAATGAAAACTATAAAACACTGCTGAAAGAGATTAAAGAACACTTAAATAAATGGAAAGATGTTCCCTGTTCATAGATTGGAAGACTTAGTATTGTTAAGATATAAATACTACTCAAAACGATCTATAGATTCAACACAATCCTAATCAAAATTAACAGTATTCTTTACAGAAATAGAAAAATAAATCTTCAGTTTTATATGGAATGGCAAGAGGCCCTAAATAACTAAAACAATGTTGAAAGAGAAGAACAAAGTAGGAGAGCTCACACGTCTTGATATTTTACTATACAGCGAAAGTAATCAAAACAGCCTAGTACTGATTGGTATAACAACAGATACGTGGACCAATGGAATAGAATAGAGAGTCAAGAAATAAAGCCACATGCCTATGGCCAATTTGATTTTTGACAAGGGTGCTAAGTCCATTCTGCGGGGAAGAAGAGTATCTTCAATAAATGGTGCTAACAACATGGTCTACAAAAATATTGTTCTACAACTTATGTTGGTGGGATAGCACCTGGGGTCTTAAAAGCTTGTGAGTGGCCATCTAAGTGTCAGCTATTGGCCTGTCCTCATCTGGAGCAAAGACGAGTGAAGAAAATCAAAGATGCATGGACACAGTCCAGAGGACTGAGGACGATGAGAACTTCAGCCTATATGACCCTGAGATCAGAACTAGATGGTGCCCCAGCTACCAATGGCCACCACTCAGAAAGGGATCAAAGTTAGAGATCCTGTGTAGGATGGGACTAAAATGTGGAACTGAACTCAAAATCATAAAAAAGGGTATTTGTCTGATGCCCTCCTTGGAACAGTCAGCCATGAAGATCAGAAGGGCAGCATTTGCACAGAGAGAAAGGTAGGGAGGCAGGGAAGGAAAGACCACAGGGAGCAAGTGGGAGGTGAGCTGTTACACTGCAGGGAACGTAACCAGTGTCACAAACAAAATGTGTATCAACTATTGAATGTAAAATGAACCTGCTTTGTAAAATTCCCCCTGAATCACAATAAAAAGTAAAAAATAAAAAATAACTGGTGCTGAGAAAATTGGATTTCCACTTATGGAAATATGAAAGAGCATCACATTACACAAAAACAAAGTCAAAATGGATTAAGGACCTAAACGTATGTGTATATATATAAAATCTATATTATGTATAGGAGTTCTGGTAGCTTAGCGCCTAAGGCACTTGACTGCTAACCAGAAGGCTGGTGGTTCAAACCCACCAGCTACTCCTTGGAAGGAAGGTTGGGCAATCTACTTCCATAGTGGTACTGCCTCTGTAACCCAAGGAGGGGTCACTATGAGTTGGGTCTGACTCGACGGCAGATAACAACAACAACACAGCCTATTATGTATACGTACACAATGTGGATAACATGATAATAATTTTTGACCAACTAAAATATGTGACTGAAATTTACTAATAAACTTACTTTCTAGGCCCTTTTTATTGGCTATGGACCTGGATTCAAGCATGGAGTTGAAGTTGACCCCTTTGAAAATATTGAAGTCTATAACTTAATGTGTGGTAAGTGTGAATAGATGATTTTTATCCGTTTTGAAAACGGAGAGAGAATAGAATTATCATGTGGTGGGTTCCCTGTGGAGACAGTGATGAGGACAGACCCTCACATTTTCAGCTTTCTTCTTCTTGACCTAGAGTCACTGAAAAAACATTTCAAACATATCATTTGATCACTTACCTATTTCTTGTGCTGGGCTGCAAACTACTAAAATACAACATTTACAGCTTATTTGATATTCTATGTGCCCCTAGTAGACACTTCACAGTGCCAGGCCCTAGGCTTAATTATGATAATGGGAGCAGTGAAAGGTGAACAAAACAGGTAAAATACCTGGTACTCTGGTGGTGTAGTGCCCAAGACATTTGACTGCTAACCAGAAGGAAGGAAGGTTGGTCAATCTACTTCCGTAGTTATACCACCTCAGAGGTCCAAGGAGGGGTTGCTTTGAGTCAGATGCAACTTGATGGCAGTGAGTTTTGGTTTTTAGCAATAATAGTGTAAATGGATGGCAATGTCAAGGTTGTAGAAATGGAGAAGGACCCATTAGGTGTATTCTCAGCTCATTCTATACCTTCTAAATTAATACTTTTATCGTGGGATATTGAGTTTTAAATATTGCTTTCTTTTTCTGATACTGATACATCTACTACTCACTTATCAACTATTTCACTTTTATAACAGTTATAAATATACTAGTTATAAAAGTGCTATTTTGTGCATTAATGACATACAAGACAGTAATGAACACTGAGGTACAAGGTGAGAGTAATACTAGTTGTGTTCAGATTATGTGTTCAGTTTATGTGTCAGTGATTCTCAGTGGTTTGGCAGTTATATAATGATGTAATTTGGCAGTTAAGTAATGTAGCCATCCTCCATTTTGTAATCTAATGTGGTCATTCTCAATTTTCACATAATGACCTGGTCTCATTATGGCACTAAGTAAGGAGTGAGTGTACTGAAAACTTAAAAAGCCATAATTATATCCTAAGTATAATTCTTTCAGTTGGGGCCTGTCTACCTATATAAGAGCTCTGGTGGCCTAGAGCCTAAGGCATTAGACTGCTAACCAGAAGGCTGGTGATTCAAACCCACCAGCTACTCCTCTGAAGGAAGGTTGGACAATCTACTTCTGTAGTGATACTGCCTCAGAAACCAAGGTGGGGTCACTATAAGTCAAATCTGACTCGATGGCAGTGTGTTTGGTTTTGTGTACTATATAGATGGATTAAGATAACCTAAAGTACTTAAGTCAGTGCTTGGTACATAGTAACTACTTTACTTCATAAGTGCTTCCTATTATTATTATTAAGAGCGTGTCCTTTAGACACAGGGAAAGCGGCTGAGGATTAGCTTTTGAACCCTGAGTCTACAATTTTAGTAGATTTGAGACCTTGTCAAGGCATTGTGATTACTCATATGTGAAATGTTGGTGATAAGGCTTAATTCACTAAATTGTTTTGAGGATTAAATAAGAAAATATATACTAACACATATAGTAAGCATTCAACAAATAGTAACTATAACTACCATATGCATGTATGTATTGCTCAACATCCATGATACATTCTGTGAAATAGAATTTGGATGTTGTATGAATACCATATTAAAACCATATGGGAGCCTACTTATGGTCGTTCTTGTCACCACTTTACTGTTGCTTCTGCTAGAGCTGCTGAAGCTGCTGGCGGAGGCTGAAGGCACGGGCAGCAACAGCTGCAGCAGGAGTGGAGAGGGAGGGACAGAGTGGGACGGAGCAGATCAGGCCTTGCCCGCCTGCTGTTCCTCCCACCTGAGCAGCAGGAACAGCCAATGCCACTGCTGCCTGCCCAGGAGCTTGCACTTAGAACCATGTCCTCTGTTTCACCTGCCTGTGTCCCACCCATGGTCCAGCGTGTCTGGGTTTGGAGGTCTTTAAAACTACTAGGGGGACATGATAAAAGGAGAACTGCAAACAAACAAAACTCACGGACGTATATGTGGTCAGACGTTGAATGAATGAATGTGCAGCAATGCATACCTGTACTTTGAAATTCGGAAGCTTTCATAGAGGGTTACAATATTCATATTAATATTTCCATTAAGAATAGCATAATAAAAAATATTCTAAAACTCAAGGAAGTTATATACTTTTATTTTTCTGAAAAAATAAAAGACTCGTACAGATTTGGTTTTAAAAAATAAAAATTACACTATAAATCTATTTATTTGATTTTGAAACTTCAAAGTAACTCTTTAGCATTCTTGGAATTATGTAGATTTGCTGAATTTGATACCAGCTTCTAACAATGGAACTCATGGCAGTCTTAACCACCTTCTGAAGAATCCTGTTTACACCCCAAAGCATCCCAAAGATGTCCGTCCCCTAGTACAGTGCCCATTCACAAGAACCAACAGAGAGAACCTTGGCTGTTCGTGCAACCCCACAGTAAGTACTGCTGAGGAGTTTAGTCCAGAGTGTACAGCTTGTAAGTACCCTCTTTGTGACATATGGTGTAGAGATATTTAAGGGTAAAATTAAAATTTAAGTGTGGGGGAAACATAGATATATTTATAATTGTAGAAATACATGGGTGTCTTCTACTGCTTAGTTTTCTCCTTCCTAATTTTTGTTTTCACATCTATTTTTATCCCTTGCTGCTGTGGCTTGACTTGGGTGTAGGTTGGAAGAAGTCTGGTTGAGTCCTTGAGTATCCTGGATAAGGGAATCTATGTTGTTTCTCTTGTAGTGACATTTTTCGTACATAGTAATGCATTCAAAATCTTTCTGTAAAATACATCCCAACCTATATATAAAATAGGTAGATACAGATATATATAAGAGAAAATAGATAGATATAGGTATATATAAGAGAAAAATACTACTTTTTGGTAGGAAATGGATATATGAGTCTTCCTTTTTCACTCTTACTGTATGGGGACTAAGGAGCTTTGGTGGCATAGTGAATAAGGCATTTGGCTGCTAACCAGAAGGTCAGCAATTCCAACCCACCAGCAGCTCTGCAGAAGGAAGATGGGATGATCTAGTTCTGTAAAGATTTACAGCATTGGAAACCCACTGGGGTTGCTATGAGTCGGATTCAACTTGATGGCAGTGAGTTTGCTTTTTTTAAAAAAAATATAGTTACTGCAAGAAGATAAAAATGTGTGATGGTTTATGAACAAAATTGATAGTACCCATAAAGATAGAAATTTGGGGAGGAGTTCATTTTATGCTGTCTCTTTTGTTTTATATTTGACTTAGGCTTATAGTAAGATGGTAGTAGGACAGATAAGAATTATAAAGCAGCAATTAGAAGTTTTTAATTACTTTTATTTCTCATGACAATAATTTTGTCTTTTTACAACTGTCATTCCTCATCAAAAATATCTTTCACTCATGCAAGACTTTTACATTTTATCTTTGATTTATGTTCAGTTAATTAAACTATACAAGTTGTATGTTAGAAAATTAAAACATATCTCTCAGTCCCTAAAATAGTAATATTCACTTTTTTTTAGATATTACCAATTATAGATTTTCAGACACAATTGAATCTGACCATGGCAGAAGGTAAGACATTTACTTTCAAGCTTGATATATAAAAATAGGATTTTTGTCAACAGTGTGGGCTACAGAGATTTGGTTTCTGGGCGTTATTTGAGAATAACCAGTAAAATTAATAGAGCAATGGAGGACCACTATAGAGATTTCTGTGTTAGACAGTCTAGAAGGTTAGTCTTAAGGGCAGAAGGGATATTGACAATGGAAATAGTCTGTGATATATTTAATGGAAGCTGAATCACTTTTTATGAACATGATAGTAGTATTTTGAACATTTGAAGATTTTTGAAGGTTTATAATAGAGTCTCAGGTTTCTTTTTAAAATACCTGTTAAGTTTCTGTCTCATCTGATTCTTATTAATTACAAGAGATTATAAATTGATTTATTATCTAAAGGGATTTCTTCATAACTTTTGAGTAAAAATTACGAATATATAGACAATTCAAGAAATTTTTTAGTTTTGAATTGGATCTTCAATACCATTTTGATATAATCTTTGGTCCTTACATTACTTAGATGACTTTTTTTTTTTTTTTCCTGGAATGAAAAAGTAAATTCAGCACTATTCCTGATTTGACCTCGGCTATTATCCCTGCTCTAACTATTTGCATTAGAGAAATCTTTGATGGACCTAGGATGGCAAAGTATTGTGGCTAAGGACA